AAAACAACAACAAACCAAACAAACCTGAGAAGCCCCATTAATTGAACTTCAAGATTTACATTTATTATATATACTACTTTATAGGTTTCTATACATGTACTTCATAAATTATGACTTATTTATTTTAAACCAGATATAAATAAAAATATTCTTGGCATTAAGAAGTAAATAAAAATATTATCTTTTCAGTTGGTTCTTGTACACTGGTTATCCTCAATTTGACATGTCATGAACATTGAAGGAAATTAAGAGAATATATAAAAAATGTTTTACAAATTATTGCAGTAGTACGGTTGGGTTCTGGTTTTGACTGAATATATGATATTAGATTAAGCCTCAGAATAAATGAATTACTAAAAATGTAGCTAGATAAAAGTAGGTGCCATACATAGATCCCATCTAAGCCTAATCTTTTATTTAAAAGTCTTACATTTGAAATGGTTGCCACCATGTTCCAGCTGGAAAGGAACTGTTGTTGTAATATGCCATTGAGTCACCTGCAACTCATAACAACCCTCTGTACTATAGCTCTGAACCCTGCCCTATCCTGAGCCAGTCTCACTGACTGACATCCAATCCCATTTCCCCAGTTACTGTGTCAATCCGTTTCATCTGGGGTCTATTTCTGCACTGTCCCTCCACCCTTCTAAGCATGATGTCCTTCTCCAAGGATTGGTCCCTCCTAACAACATGTCCTAAGTATACAAGACAAAGTATCAAAGTCCTTGCCTCCATGGAACAACCTGGTTTCACCATCTTCAGGACAGAGCTCTTCTCTTGACAGTTGATGGTATGTTCAATAGCCTTCTTCTCCCGCACTGCAATTCAAAACCATCAATTCTTCTTCTGTTATCCTTAGTCATCATCCAGCTTTCTAATGCATAGAAAGTAATTGTAAAGACTATGGCCTGAAGCAGGCATACCTTAGTATCTAGACTGACATCATTGCTCTTTAGCACTTTGGACAGGTCCCTGACAGCAGATGTTCCCAGTGCAATTCGTCTTTCGATTTCCTGACTACTGATGCCAAGAGTGTTGATGGTGGAGCTGAAATTGTTAAAAAAAAAGACAAAAATATTAACTAGGCAGATGACCTTAAAAAGAGTATTTGTTATGTCAACACCTAAACATGTATTAAAAATGTGAAAGAAAATAAATACTGAGATTCAATATGCCTTGAAAAGTCTATTGTTTATCTTTTCTGTGGTTACATAGATAATGGCCTGAAAATATTATTCCCCCCTTAGAAATATATTCTTTTAAATTGACCAGGTAGTGACAGAAATACATGCACTTGATATATGGAATGTAACCTGTGTTTGATGTTGGAGCCCACTTCAGATTTACTGACCCTGAGCCCAAGAAAACCTCTCACTCATGAGGAAAATGAAGATGGATTTGTTACCCAAAAGACACCCTAGAGGCACAGTGATTAAAAGTTCTTTGCTGCTAAAGAAAAGCTGGCAGTTCAAATCCACGAGCTGCTCATGATAGAAAGGTTTGACAGTCTATGAAGGGTCTACTCTTTCCTTTAAGTGTGAATCAGACATGATGGTTGTGTGTTTGGGGATTTTGTTGGTTTTATTTCTTTTCTACACAAGCCTTGGAAAAACCAGGTTGTAGGATTCATTTACTGCCATTAAGTCCGTCCTGAAACTTAGTTGATCCCTGGTTGAGATTTTCTTGATGCTGTAAATCACAGCATGGGAGAAAGCCCATTTTTCTCCCATGAAGCCTTTAGTTGATTTGAACCATCAGAGAGGCGCAGCCTTTGCTTTAACAGCTTAATTAGCTACAGACTATGCCACCAGAGTTCCCTGGTCTGAAGACAGTTGTTTTTATATGCAATCAAGTATGACTCATGGTGGCCTATTACCCACAGATATGAAACCGGTCCAGTCCTGTACCATCCTCACAATCTCTGACACACTTAAGACCATTACTGCAACTCACTGTGTCATTCCACCTGGTTGAAAGTCTTCCTCTCTTTTGCCAGCCTTCCACCTTCTCAAGCATGATGTCCCTCTCCAAAGAATACCTGTTCTAGCTACATCAATTTTCCAGCACAAGTATGTGAGGCAAAGTTTTATCATCTTTGCCTCCAATAAGCACTCTGGCTGTACTTTTTAAAGATATATTTGTTTTTTCTTTTGGCAGTCCATGGTATATTCAGTAGTATTCCCCAACACCCTTCTGCCATCCTCATTCACTGTTCAACTCTCACAGAATAGCAAGTGATTGCAAAGACCTTGTCCTGAGTATGGGGTACCTCAGTTCTCAAACTAACATTATTGCTTCCCTATAATTTGGAGAGGTCCCTTATTTCAGACATTTTGCCAGTGCAATATGTTACCTCATCTCCTGACTGCTGGTACTAAGTGTATTGATTGTGGATCCAAGTAGGATGAAGTTGTTGACAACTTCAATCTTTTGTCTATCATGATGTTGCCTATAGGTCCAGTGGTAAGAATTTAGATTTACTGACTTTAAGATGCAATCCATATTGATGGTTGCATTCTTTGATCTTTTGCAGCAATCTTGTCAAGTCCTCCTCACTTTTAGCAAGCAAGATTGTGTCAGCTGCATAACAAAGGCTACTGATGAGTCTTCCTTCAATCTTGATGCAACATACTTCTTTATAGATTATACCTTCTCAAATAATTTGCTCAGCATGCAGATTTAATATATATGGAGGAAGGATACAACCTTGACACACACCTTTTCTAAACTATGGCTAACTCTGAGAAGAATGGGAATCCCAGAACCCTTGATTATGCTTATGTGAAACCAGAAGGCAGTCATCAGAACAGAGCAAGGAAACACTGCATGACTAAAAATCAGGAAAGGTGTATGCCAGGGATGCATACCACTCAATCTGTACGTGGAACAGAGCATCTGGGAAGCTGGGCTCTATGAGAAGGAATGTGGCATCAGGATTAGAGGAAGACTCATCAACAACCTCTGTTACACAGATTATAATTATAATGAATTATATTATAATGAATTGTGCAAAGACTTGGAGTTGGAAAACCAAAATTAAAGAATAACCTCAGCATTTTTCAAGCTGAAAGATGAAAGAGGAAAATAATCAAGCCTCAAGATGTAATGTTGAGGAATTCTTTGGGCAAGATATTGAACAAGGGAGGCAGCATCAAACGAAAATGGAAGGAATGCATAGAATCACTGTTAGCAAAAATAATTAGTTGATGTTCAGTCACTTCAGGAAGTGATGATCAAGAACTGATGGTATTAAAGGAAGAAATACAATCTGAACTTGAAAGAATTGTTGAAAAAGAAGACTTGATGAGTAGAAAGCCAGTTGAGATTCTTGCTCATGCCAAGGAATTTAGAATAAAAGATAAACAGTGCCAAAGATTTACTTTACTTAAATCTGCAATGCTTATAGGAACAGCAATTAATAAATCAAATTATATATTGCAATTCTATCATTTGAGCTGTGGCGCTGGAGAAGAGAGTTGAATCTACCATGGACTGCTAGGAGAACAAACAGGTTTGTCCTGGAGAGGGTGAAGCCAGAATGCTCCCTGGAGTCAAGGATTCTGAAGCTTCGTCTGACATATTTTGGGCATGTTGCAAGGAAGGACATCATGGACATGTCCTTGGAGAGGGACATCATGTTTGGGAGAGTGGAGGGACGGCGCAGAAGAGGAAGACCCTCGATGAGATAAATCGATTCTGTGAGTGGAGTGGCGGGAGTGTGTTTGAGGTGGTGAGGTTGGCACAGCATAGAATGGCGTTTAGGGCTCTTGTACATAGGGTCGCTATGAGTTGCAAGCGACTCCATTGCACATAACAGCAACAACAACAACAACAACAACATATTGCAATGGGAAAATCTGCTTGAAAAGATATCTTGTAATGGTTAAAAAGCAAAAATGTCCCTTTGGGAACTAAGATGTGCCTATCTCATGCCATGTTTTCAAGTGACAAGAAGCTGTCTGTACTGCGGTACTAAAATCACTGATTCTAATCTAGAGGCTTTGCAGAATGATGGACAATCTCCTCTCATGCTATTTACTGTCCCTGAAGACCAGTTGTAGGATCATCTATGAGTCTGTTCCAACTTGATGGCACACAACAAAAACATGTGGAAGCTGGGTCATGGACAAAGAAGACAGAAGAAGCCTTTGAGTTACAGTGTTGGAAAAGAATACTGACTATACAATTGGACTGCCAGGAGAATGAACAGATCTGTCTTGGAGTAAGTACAGTCAGAATGCTTCTTAGAACTGAGGATGGTGAGACCGTCTCATGTACTTTGGGCATGTTATCCAAAGAGACCAGGCTCAGGAGCAAGGACATCAAACTTGATAAAGAAAGGGGAAAAGTCAGTAAGAGAGAAGAATACCCTCAATGGGACTGACCCAGTGGTTGTAACAAAGGCTCAATATGGCAATAATCGTGATAGTTACAGCAGCAGGCAGTGTTTCTTGTGTTGTTCATAATAGTGTGTGTTTAGAATTGATTGCTACCAAAGGATTTGTCAAATGGGAGGATAAGCACAAATGTTTTGCTAGTTGAATCCTTGTATGTTTTGAATCTGGTTGTATTTCGTGTTGTTGTTGTACTATGCAGTAGGATCCTATTAATAGCTGACCCTCCAGCAGGTTTTCAGAGGTAATCAATCTCACAGGGGGAGATTGCCCAACCTTCTCCCACAGAACATCTTTTTGATTCAATCGCGTGTCTTTGGAGTCGTGCTAGAAAACTAATAAATATTTGTATAAGATAAAAATTGACGTGATTCCATGCCAGAATCTGCATGAAAACGTATTTGGGATGTGTCGCTTTTCCTTTCGAAGTGAGATTTCTTCAGCCACATCAGTTATAATTAACGTAATCAGACTTTATAGTAAAGGTAGTGTGTTAGAAAATACAGGCGTAGTCAATTCTGCTCTGTGCTTTTAGTTTCTGGCTGGAAATCAATTCTGTGGTAGAGAGGAAACCTCTGCTTTTTTCCTTTTTTTTTTAAAAAAAAAAGGCTCTACTGGGACTCAAACCCAGGATCTCCTGTTTACAAGACAGGCGCTTTAACCAACTAAGCCATAGAACCCACACATGAGCTTTTTTTTACGCAGGGCCTATCCTAACTTGATGAATTTTTCAAATTATTATTAAAAAAAATCTTCAACGTTGAAGTTGTCTAATTACTAAAATAGAATAAAAGGTTTCTACAACCAACTTTGCTATTACGGTTCGTTATATTTCGTAACTTGGATTTTTTGTTCAATTGTCCTTCAATGAGCTTCTCTAAGAAAGAAACGCAATGAATGCATGGAAATCCAAAATCTCTGCAAATGTTCATTAAAATTATTTAAAAAAGAAAGAAACGCCACCATCATTTGCACTCGAAGAAAGCTGGCTTTTTTTTTTTTTTTTTTTTGCGGGGAAATAACAGGAGAGAAGGCTAAGGGGTCAATTTAGTTACAGAATCCCCCTTAAAAAATCGTCACTCCCTTTAAATCCCACATATGCCCTGGTCGACTCCAATCAGAAAAACGATGGAGCAGAGGCGCCTAGGGCAAGAGGAAAGCTAAGTAGAGCCGACTGGCTACACCGTGGTCTCCTGAGGTGAATCAACTTGTGATTCCCGCAAACCACCTCTGTGCCCTGTGCCAGCACAAGGCCTTCTTTCGAGTTCAATAGGTTTCCCAATGGCAAAGAGAGAAAGTCTCCCCTCTAACTCGGCCCTTGTCCCCTGCAGTGACCCCCCGGCCTCGCTCCTGGTTGCATCCCCAGTGCGACGACACAGGGACCTTGGAGACGGGGCAAGACTGAGGACAGGAGGTTACTGAAGTGACTGAGGGGCCGACAGGGAAGCGGGGCAGGAGTGGGGGACCCAGTACTCGCCGAAATCACGTTAGTGAGGAGGTGACAGCAGCCAGGACGCATCCTCAGAGGTCAGAGACCAACCACCAAGACCCGCTTCAGACCCAAACGGATCAGGCTCCGAGGTTTAGGGATGAAGAGCATCTACACTGCCCTCCAGAAGAGGGAGATGTGGGTGCAAAAATGAAACCGCTTCCCATGCGCCCGCACATTCACGCAAAACAAGCGCGCGCGCACGTACGCGCGCGCACGAGCCTGAGTTCATTTCCAGGTGGTGGGTCTCGAGCCTCTCTGTTTTCTGTTTGAACACAAAGAAGAACATCCCGCTGGTCACCCCGAGCCCCAGCCGCAGCCCTGACTACAGACTTCACCGCCACAAGTACCCTCCTGGTTCCTTTGTACGTCCTGGTTCATTTGTACTGATTTTCCTAAATTTTAATTTTCTTTCCTAGGGTTTAATGGATTTTATTTTCTCTCCACTATCTAGGCATCTCAGAGAGAGCAGAGGAGGCAAAACCTAGATCTCAATCTTCTTGGGCCAAAACCCAAACTCTCTGCCCCCACCTAAAAGGGTAAAAGTTTTATTTTTGACTCTCCCCAAACCTTTCCCGTCCCTCGCTTCCTTCTCTCCATGGGCAGTTTCTTGTGAACACTCTAACAATTACTATTCCCTATGGTTTTTATAACTTTATTCATAGCAAATACGTTTTTTAAGAGACATAAACGCAGGTTATATACTTGGATTTCACCTGATGGTATGCATAGGAATCAGATTGATTACATCTGTGTAAAGAACCGCTGGAGAAGCTCAGTATCAGCTGTGAAAACTAGGCCAGGAGCTGATTGTGGAACAGATCACCAACTATTCATATGCAAGTTCAAGCTGAAGTTGAAGAAAATTAAACCAAATCCAAGGCCACCAAAACATGACTTTGAGTCTATCCCACCTGAATTTCAGAACCATCTCAGGAACAGGTTTGAGGCCTTGAACACTAATCAGCGAAGACCTGACGAGTTGTGGGAGGATATCAAGAGTAGGATATCCAGGAAGAGTGCAAACGAGTCATTAGAAAGACAGAAGTGGAAGAGAAGACCAAAATGGATGTCAGAAGAGACTGAAAATTGCACTGGAGCGTAGAGAAGCCAAAGCACAAGGAAGAATTGAAGATACTAAAGAGTTGAATAGAAGATTTCAAAAGGCAACACGCAATGACAAAGTAAAATATTACAATGAAATGTGCAAGGAGTTGGAGTAAGAAAATTAAAAGGGCAGAACTCGCTCAGCATTTCTTAAGCTCAAGGAACTGAAGAACAAATTCAAACCTCGGGTTGCTATAATCAAGGATGCTTTAGGCAGAATATTAAATGATCCAAGAAGTATTAAAAGAAGATGAAAAGAATATACTGAATCACTGTATCAGAAGGAATTGGGAGACACAGAAGAATTTCATGAAACAACATATGAACAAGAGCCTATGGTGATGAAAGAAGTTCAGGCTGCTTTGAAGGAAATGGCAAAAATAA